TACAAACTGTAACCGGCATGAATTTCATAAAACAAACAAAAAAAGATTTATAATAATAATGTTATCTCAAAAATATCATGAAGTTATGTATCTTCATCGTGCATTGGTTGATAGAATCTTTGATTGTGTTTTTGTGCTTGCTCACCATTGGAAGTTGCGGCATTTTATGTAAACAAAGGGGGTGCAGCTTTTTTTGGTGAATTTTTGGTTCCCAATTGTTTAAAAAGAATGGATGCAGTGTGGCTTCTAATATAGATTTTGCAGTATTCTCATCTTATGTTATAACATTTTTATAAGTCTTATTCTAGAGTGTTGTTTTACATGTATTATTAAACATTTTGATTGCTTTTAATACAGATTGCAAGAGAACATGGTATCAAATTTCTAGAGACGAGTGCTAAATCAAATGTCAATGTTGAGAAAGCATTCATGACATTAGCTGAAGACATCCTAAGAAAGGTAAGCGCAGGGTTTTAATACCAGTTTGAATATTATTTTTTACAATGTGATCAGTGTTCTCCCCAGACTTCATGTCAAGCATCACGGTCAATTTGCATAACAATACATCTAATTTGCATAATTTTATTTGCATAATCTACAATTAATTAAAGACAAGATATTTTTATATCTGATAAATTTTATATCATTTTACTGCATTGTATTTTATGTTTTTGTATCAAGTCAAATAAAGTTTGAAATAGAACAGCTTAAAAAGGAAAAAGAATTGGAAGACTTGTGTTATAGCCAGTCAATGAATATAATGTTATCCATGGATGTATTATAAACTGGTTCATCATTGTGTACAAGTTTTCGTGCCCATGTCACTGTCGGTTCATACATAGACCTTAGAAAAGGTCTATGGTTCATATAAACGTCTGGGAAAACATTTTTTGGTTAAATTTATAAAGTCGGCGAGACATCGAAATATGTTGAAATTAAAGGGGAACTAAATAGAGCCTATTTTGGTGTTTGTATTTATCAAGTTATGTATATTGATTATAAATTTGAAAAAAAATGAAAAAAAAATGATTATCTTCAGAGTTATGATGATTTAAATATGAGAAACCATAAACCTGCGAAGGACTTCCGTTTGCGCCATCTTGCCATAAAAAAACGCCCTCATGAGGTATAAACAGGTAAGGTAACAAAGCATGATGACGAAATAGTATCTGATTAAATATAAGCAACTTAGGGAGCCATAGCTGGCTGGACTGGTGAATTGACTTCTAGTCTAGGTTGTTTCGACTTTTACGTTAATGTTATTTACAAGCATATCAACATACAAACATTATGGATGTGCGATTGATCGAGACAGGCATTTTGTTTTGTTGTTTGTCTGTCTAATAAATGCTGTTTCCAGTACTGCACTGTGTGGCGTGCAAATTATTCAAAGTATGGATGCTGGAGTATGCAATCTTGAGTTCGTAGGGTGGTGGTGGAAACATTTTCGTCCATGTATTCACGGGTCTGCACTGGCAAATCATGGGACAAGTGTCACAGGAACACCAAGCAGATTGTTCACAGAACTTCCGTGTAATTTGAAATAAAA